AAGGAGCCCAGGGACAGTGACAGAGGAGCTGACCAGAGGACATGCAAGGATCCCCTCACACGTCTCAGGAGATGGAGGGATCCTACTCCAAAATGCCAGGCAAACGGGCAAAGCCATTGTGGTCAGAACAGAGTGGTAAACCTCATTGAATTTTAGCTTTCTCATCCCTCAAGGGGACTGGTGAGAAATGCCGACCACAGGGCACATAGAAGAGTTGATGCTTGGGAATCGTCTCTGGGAACATCTCTGGTGCTAGGTGTCCTCTGATTGTTCCTGCATGGTACGCCATATCCCTCCTTCTTCTGGAGCACTCCAGGGCTCACTTTAATCTGTTCTGTTGGTTTCCTATCTCTTTCCTCTCTGCCATCCTCACCAACTCCTTCCTTCAGCCGTGTGATCCGAGGTTTCCATCTGAAGCCATGCCTCTGGATTTTTCTCTCCTAGGTACTCATTTATGTCTGGTACTATAGATTGTTATTTTTCATTCCTCTCATTTATTTATTTATCTATATGTTTATTTTGATGGGGCCTTGCTGTATATGAGGATGGCTACACATTCTGGGGGAGTCTACACCACCATGCCTCCTTTGTGGTGATCTATTATGTATGATTTAATAAAGACTGCCTGAAGGATCAGAATGCAAAGCCAGCCACCCTAGTCAGCTATAGGAGCTAGACAGCAGTGGCACATACCTTTAATCCCAGGACTCAGGATGACTCTCTGTGAGGTCAAGGCTACCCAGGCTACAGGAGAGTGAATCAGTCTAAAAAATAAACAGAGCTCATGCATTTAATCCCAGCCTTAGAGAGGTATACAAAAGACAGGAGCCCAGTGTCTGAGATTTAGTCTCCAGCCATGCTAAGAATAGGTTACAGTCTGAGGCTTGGTGAGAGCTTATGGAGACAGGATCAACCCTTTTGGTCTGAGGTAGAGGTAAGAGCTAGTGGCCAACAACTGCTTTGCTCCTCTGATCTTCAGCTTGAAGCTTGAACTCTAATATCAGTCTCTGGGTCTTCATTGTTCGTATTACAGTCCTTTCCCCTTCTGATTTTTCTTATTATTTTCTGTCTTTTTATGGTGATTATTTATTGCTTTTAGCAAATAATAAAAAAGTAAAATTTTCATTTTTAATAAAATAAAAGCAAGCAAACAATTACTGGGAAACCGAGATTCTTTTGCTGAGTCTTTAGTTTCATTAATAAAAGAATTTGAAAATCAACTCAAGGAAATTCAAGGATAATTTTCCTATAATTTGAGAAAAAAAAAAAAAAAAGAAAAAAGATCAAAAAACCCAAAAAGCAGCTGTATAGGCAAGTTGTGAATTTGAGCAACTTCCAGGAGGGAAAGTAGAGAAAAAGTCATGACTTTTTTTTCAGCCATTTGTTTATTTTAATTTTAAAACATCTTATTTTATATATCAATCCCAGTTCCCTCGCTCTCCCATCCTCCCACCCTTCCCTCATCCACTCCTTACAGAGGGTGAGGCCTCCCATGGGGAATCAGCAAAATCTGTCACATAGTTTGGGGGAGGACCAAGGCCCTCCCCCTGTACCTAGGCTAAGCAAGGGATCCCTCCAAAAGGAAGGAGCTCCAAAAACCAAATTCAAGCACTAGGGATAATGACTTGTTCCACTGCCAGTGGCCCCATAGACTGTCCAACTGTCACCTGCATTCAGGAGGCCTAATTTGATCTTATGCAGGTTTCACAGCTGTCAGTCTGGAGTCAGTAAGGACCCCTTGCTCGGGTCAGCTGTTTCATGCCTTTTGAGTTGGCCACAGAGGTCAGAGAAACACCGAGAAAGCACTGAACTTGCGCAGGAGTACCTAGCTCACCCTGAACTTGTGCAGGAAGGGTGCCTAGCCGCAGATCTAAGTTCAGAGGACAGTGGATCCAGGCTCTGTGACACTGACATGTGAAGGAGAATGGGGTTCTGGAGAGTTGGCTCAGCAGTTAAAAGCAGCTCTTGTAGATTTGGTTTCCAGTACCCACATGGTGACTCAGAACTCTCCCTAACTCCAGTTCCAGAGGGTCCAGTGCTCCCTTCTGGCCTCTGTAGACACTGCATGCAGGTGGTGCACATACATATAAGCAGATAACAGTCATATGCATAAATCAAAGAAAGTATTTTTGAAGAAATGAAGGGTGCGGCTGAGAATGAGAGTGGGCTAGTTAGCTGAGGAGAGAGTCCCCGAAGCATGGCTCCTTTAAGAACCCTGCCTCTACTGTGCGTGGTGCCCAAGCTTCTTGTACTCATGTGCACACTCCGCTCTACTCCTTAGAGGACGCTGATAAGAAAGGGCTTCCAGCCTTCCTCTGCAAACTGGCTTTTTAAAAACAGGCTAATCTTGAGGCATCCTGTTCTTCTTCTTCTGCCACAAAACCCTTTATAATCATTTGTTCCCAAAGGATTTTAGACCTTGAATTTAGAATTTAAGCCATTCAATAATATGGCTGCAAAATCCCTTTTAGGAAATCCAGTGCACAGTGGGGCTTTAAGCTCACACACACTTTATGTTAGGTCCTTCTCAACATGGTAAACTTCTAAACAGGTCACCTCAGATGGCCCAAGGAGTCAGACTTCAGTGAGGCCAAGCTTTCCTACCCTATTCTGAGGAAATTAGATGGTATACAGGGGATTAGTGTGATTTTGGAAGAGAGGAAGGACCAAAGCTCAAACATGGTGGGCGTTGTATTCTTTTTGCTCTTTCATTTCCGGTTGTCTGGAAGCCCTTGGAGGGCTTCTGGACATGTTCTTTATAAATCCTCAGGTCTGAAGGTGCCCCAGGACACCTGCAACCATCACATACTTTTATTCCCCTTTCAAACCAAATGGGGAACTCAAAGCAGGGACTCTGAGATAGGAGATAAATAAATGATACTGCATTTGAAGACCCAATAGAAGAGGGACCCTCTCATGTTCACAGGATGCTGTGGCCTGCCCACTGAGAGACTGCTGCTGTCTGTGTGAGTGAGTCTCATTACAGCCTCCATTGATCGCCCGGCTTCCAGGGCTCTAAAGAGCCCATTTCTTCTCTTTCACTCTGGGAAAGCAGAGCAAAATGCTTAGGAGAAAACAAAAAAACAACCCACATTTGTTTCTTCAGCATTGTTTGTCCTGGATGTTGTTAGCGGCTGTACTTCTTAGGTGTAGCAACTTATCTTCAACACGCAGGTGTTGAACTATTTCATGTTTATCTCTTTTTCCATAGTAGAACATGTGAGATACTTCTAGACCACTAAAACAGTCCCCAAACTTTCTGTCTTCATCTGTAAATTGGGGTAATGTCCGTGCCACAGGGTTCTAATTGTGAGGACAAGATGAACGCAGTGAGGTAGACTTATGTGGTGTGATGTGGTGTGTCAGCAGGGGCTGCGGTGTGGCGGAATCAAAACAATGAAACTGAGTCAGCTCAGGGTGGGAAGGCCAAGGGACGCGAGGCAGACATCTCGTGTTTGCCAGCAGGGTAGCTCAGTGCACGCGCATGCCGTGCGTGTGTATGTTTGTGTGTAGAAGGGAGATAAAACTTCTCCAGGTTGGAAATGTTACTCATTTATTTATCCATGAATAGGATTGGTTTAATTTCATGGAAGTTGTTAAGGATTCTAACAGGTTTCTGAAGATCCCTTTGCTTCTGTTAACTCAAGTGGCAATATCCCAAAGTGTGACACTGAGGAGGAGAGTGAGCTATGTGCCCAGCCTTAAGGGTCACCCTTCTTGCGGGAAGCAGGGCTGGAGTGCACAGACTTTCACAGCTTCATGGACAGCAGGGTCCCAGGTGTCCAGGCTTCCAGGGCTCCTGTAGCCACTTCCAGAAATGAAGCAGGTCCCCCAGGTATTGAGGGTCTTTGAAGATTCATGGGTGTTGTTGACATGTTACTGCTTGCTCTTCTGTGAATGTGTGTATTTCATGTTGCTTAAACATTCTAACAGAGGTGGAAGGAAGCCTGTCTTTCCCTATTCAAAGCTGATATGCAAACTGCAAATACTATGACAAGTAACAGGACAGTAGCCTCTGACATGACAGGTAGGCTGGAGTGACAGAGGGCCAGAGTAGACATTCTGTGGGGAGAACCCTGAACTGAAGGAGATGGAGACGTCTTGGCAGAGGAAGAGCTCTTAGACCAGACACGAGCCATGCTTCCCTCAAATTTGCCTGGACACACAACAACATTTCCCCAAGGGACCAGTTCTGTATGTGAGAAGACAGCCAGCACTCGGATAACTGAGTTAATACCTTTGAAACAGAATTTCAGGAAATGAAAAGGAGGAAGAGGAGGAGAAAGGGGGAGTGATGGAGGGGAGGAGGAAAAAGGGAAGGAGAGGGGGAGGGAGAGAAGATGGAAGAGGGGGAGGGAGGAGAAAGAGAGAAGGGAGAGGAGAGAAAAGAGGAGAGGGAGGAAGAAGAGGTTGTAAAGGAGGAAGAGGAGGAAGCTAAATAAAGAGCAAATTTACAGTGCAAAATAGTTAATAATAGTAAGCCTTGGAATGTGAGTGTGAGGTTAACCCTCACAGTCTAGTGGTCAGCTTACAGAAGGACCTTTTAGGGTGAAGGGAGGCATCGTTCCGTTCCCTTGAACACATTGCTGTAAGTCACCAGTAGAGTTCAGAAGAGTTAGAAAACAGAAAGAATATTGGTATAATTAAAATCTTCTGGTTAAATAGGAAATGACCATTTGAAGGTGCTTTGCTACCAATAAAGATAATACTGAAAATAGTATTTGTGACCTCAAAGTTAATGTGATAGATCAAAATTATTCTGAGTAAGAGATACATGGTTATTTTATTCTTTCCAGTGTCTGTCCTTTTAAATTCAAATGAACAATTCTTCCTACATAGTGGTGAGATTGAACATTTAAAATGTTTTTAATTCTTCTTCTTCTCCTTCTCCTTCTCCTTCTCCTTCTCCTCCTCCTCCTCCTTCTCCTTCTCCTTCTTCATCTTTGTCTTCGTCTTCATCTTCCTCCTCTCTCTTCTCCCCTCCTCTTCTTCTGCAACAGGGTTACCTGATGGAAAACCAAATCTCGGGCCTGAAATGTGACGCCGATGTGTTTGTGACCTTTGAAGGTGACAATGTAGTCATGCTTCAGGTAAGATTATGGCATGTTTATTCATTTTAAACAGCATGGTTTTCAAGACCAAGCATTATCCAAAGAATCTGAAGTGTTCTGTACGTTTTATCTTTATCTGATATCTGCATTTAATCAGCAGGTGTTTCCCTGTTAGGCAGTTGAACAGGAGACTGGGTTATTTCTCTTTTAGGTCATCTTTGATGTTGAAAAATGTCTTTGTAGTTTCAGAAAACTTCTTGCACGTACTAAGTCAGATTTTTCTACTAGCAAGGCTATTCCAATAGAGTGTGTAGGCCCTGGAGATAAAAAAGTGAAAGACAGAATACTAAGTTACAAAAGGATGGGCATTCAGCCTCACTAGGACAAACTGGGGCACTGTTCTCCTTTCAAGTTAGTGAATGTCTGAAAGCTCATGGAAGTCTCATTGTTGGTGAAAGTACAAGAGGGTTTGCCTGTTGCCATAGGAGACAGAGATAGGGCCTCCATGGGACAAGAAGGCTAGCTAAACTAGACAAAATGGTAGGGAACTGATGTGTCTCCCATGGTCCAAGGAAGTAGGCAGCATAAAATAGTAGCATCCATGCATCTACCAGTGGCACACAGGGAGCTATTCTCTATTCCTCCCTCTGGAAGCAGAGAATTCTCTAGATCTCACTCCAGGTAGTGTCACTGAAGCCTATTCTAAGTGGAGTCACTATATCTACCCATCAGGTGATGAAAGTAATGTCCACCCTAGTGTCAGCTGTGGGAATGAGGGTAGGAAACACCATGGTCATGTCTCAGCTTTCTGTAACCATGACAAAATGCTCAAGAAGATAATGTAAAGTAGGAAGGATTTATGTTGATTCAGTGTCACAGGTGTCAGTTCACAGTTTCTTGGCTTCATTGTTTCCGGGCTATGAGACATAACATCATGTTGGGAACCATGTAACAGAACAAAGCTGCTTACCTCATAGTGACTGGGAAGCAGCGAGTGAGGGGAGGAGGAGCATGATAGATCCAAGCACATACTTTCAAGGATTCACTCCCTTCTACTAGGTTCAACTTTATCTCCAAAAGCCTACCAAATCATGAATCCATCAATGAACTAATTAATTAGCTCAAAGTCCTCATGATCCAGCCACTTGCAAAGCCATCTAGTGGCAAGCAAGCCTTTAGCATGGTATTCAGTAGTAGTTTTAGGTTCAACCCACAACTGTCAGCACTCGCAGCTAGGTGGGGAACTGAGCCCCAGCATCACTTGGTCTCAAAAGAGTGACATGAGCTAATACACGTTTTCCCAGGAGATAACAAAGAAGACCTAAGTAAATGTAGGTGATAAAAACAGAAGACCTTTAGGAGGAAAATAATGACTAATAACTGGACATGCAGCTTAACTGGCAGAGTGCTTTGCCTGGTGTGTCTGAAGCTCTAGACTTAATGCCCAACATGGAGGCAGGAGGGTCAGAAGCTCAAGGTCATCCTTAGCTTATATAATAAGTTAGCAGCTAACCTGAGCTACAAGAAACTTGTCTCAACACAAAACAAAAAGTGGGAAAATTTATGAGACTTATAACAAAGGAAAAAGTCATAGATTTGGCATCAAAAGCATAATTCATAAAAGAATTGATAGAACAAGTCTACGTTCACCCCATCTGTTGCTTACCACCAATTGATTTCTGGGAGTGGAGAGTGATTTCTGTTCCCCAGTTTCCTTAAACTTCTCTATTTCAGTTAGGAACATCAAAGTAGGATCCAGTGCAGATAGGAGCATCCGCCTCACAACTGACCCACCCTCAACGGGCCCCTGGCTTCTCAGAGGAAGGGTGCTCTGGCTAGTGCAGTCATCCAACACCGTCCCCACAGTCCTCATCTGGGGATTGCCTCTGGAGACCATGCAGCTTGGAAACTCTGGGCACACAGCCGGGCATGCTGCAAGTGTCTTTCTGGGGTGTGACTGATGGCAAGCTGGCAGGCTGACCCTCTCCCCAGCATCTGTACTGTTAGCACTTTCACAACTCTGCTGCCCAGCACAGTGCTTCCAGCTTACTTACTGAAGGTGAAACTCCCAATTCTACTGATGCTGGGTGGCTGTCCCAGAGCACAGATATGCCTTAGAATTTCAGCAGCCTTTTCTTATTTCCCTTTCAGAAAAAATGGTAGATTTTTTTGACCCTTCCATTATTGTCTAGGGCAGAGGTTTTAGGTTCTTAAAGAAATTTAATTACACCCTCCACCAAATCCAATTATGATCTGAATCCATGAAATCCCATCAGAACTTCCTTTTGCCTCATTAGGTATACACCAAGACAGATCCCTGCCAAATCCATCCTGGCAGATTTCCTAAATAATGGCATCCGGAGACTTTGCATATATTGTTTATTACCCTGAAGTGAAAATATGCAAAACATGCTGGTGAGCCACAGGGAACTTGCTTAAAGATCAAATAGTGGCATTTTGTTCCTACCTGGCTGGAGTGACTTCTGTTCCAGACAGTCTGCTTAGGAATGCTGAGAGAGTTGTCTGTTCATAGGCAAAAAGCCTGCAGTGACCCTATGTATGAGTCCTGTGATCTACAAGAAGAAACATTTTTTTTCAAGCAAGTGAGAAGTGGCTGCTATAACCCTGGACTGCTGTGGGCAGCCATGAGCACAAAAATTTCCTTTTGTGTTTTTGTTAAAATACTAGATTTTAGGGCTGGAGAGATGGCTCAGCAGTTAAGACACTGACTGTTCTTCCAGAGGACCTGAGTTCAATTCCCAGCACCCACGTGGCAGCTCACAACTTAACTCCAGTTCTAGGATACCTGACACCCTCATGCAGGCAAAATACCAATGGGGCCAGGCTTTTCTTGCACAGGCTGGGTCAGCAATATTTCTTCCTGGCCAAAGTGGTCCATGCTGCAGATGACAGGGCTTCATTTCTTCTGTAGCCAAACATTATCCCATTTTATCTATAAACCTCATTTTCTCTGTCTGCTGTCTATTGATGGGCACAGAAGTTGATTCCATATTTAATTATTATGAACGATGCTGCAGTAAATAGTGTGCTGGTGTTCCTTTGCTATGCTGGCTTCATTATTGGATATCCCAGAAGAGGGATGGTTAGATTAAGTGGTCATTTCATTGACTTTTTGAACAGCTGTGATGGTCACTTTAGTGGCTGTGTGAAAATTTACTTTTTTCTTCAGCCTCCACCAGCATTTCCTCTGTTTTGTTTTACTGTTAACTACTCTGAATAGTGAACTGATATCACTGTAGTTTGATTTGTCTATCCTGCTAGCTAAAACTATTGAGTGTTTTCATGTATTTATTAGCCATTAGAATCTCTCCTAAGGAGTGTCTATTTTAAAGTTGAATTATTTGGTTTGTTGCTCTGTGAGTTCCTTCTATATTCTAGATGCTAATCCTTTGTCAGATGAACAGTTGGAGAGTACTCTCTCCCATTCTGTAGGCTGTCTGCTCACTCTGGTCTTATTCCTTTAGTGATGTAGGTGGCTCTTAGTTTAATATAATCCCTCTTTTATAATTTCCCTATGCTTTTGAGGTCATATCTTCAAAATCATCACTTATACCACTAACTTAGAGGGTTCCCTTCATATTTTATTCTTGTGGCTTTGTAGTTCAGAGGCTTAAATTTAAATCTTTGATCCATTTTGTGTTGATTTTTGTATGGGAGGGAGACGGGCCAAACTATCCTGGTTTGCAGATGACATTATTCCCTGTATAGAAAAGCCTAAATACACTACCCAAGATGCAATGGGGCTGATAAACAAACTCAGGAAAACTGTAAGCTATAAAGCCAATACACATAACTCAAGCATTTTACATATCCAACGACAAGATTCCTAAGGAATAAATCATGAAAGCAGGCCTATTAAAAAATATCCAAAGATATTAAAATAAAGTTCACAAAGTTCGCAGGAAAACTTTAACCAAAAAAGGCCTTTACTGTACAAATTACCAAACACCAATGAATGAAAACAAAGGAGACATTAGGAACTAGAAAAAACAACCTGTTGGTACAGTGGAATAATTAGTACTGGTAAGATGTCCAGAGAACTCAAAGAGATTTACAGATTCATAGTAATCTCCATCAATGTAGTCCACAGAGCTATAAAGCAAAACTGAACAAGACCACACACACACACAAACACACACACACACACACACACACACACACACACACACACTTAATTCATGTGCAAGAAATCTTGACCACAAAGAATACATCTCTCCACCAGATTTCATAGGACCACAAACAGCATGGCACAGGCATAAAGCCAGAGTAAGAAAGCAGATTCCCACAGCTGACAGAAACACCACAAGGCGACAGAAAATGCAATGGAGAGAATAGCCTCTTTAGTAAATGAGAAGCCTAGGTAGCTACGCACACAGAAATCAAGAACTGAAAATAAAATGGCTTTCTGGAACTTTCCCAAAAGGAGTCTGTGCAAAGAAATACCTGGCTGGTAGTAACATGCAAGACCAGGAGACATTTAATCCAAGTGAGGACAGGAAAGCCACGGGGTCAAAGGATGGCTTCGAACAGGAAGTGGTTTCTGTTCTACAAAGAGCAACGTAAAAAGCAGGAAGGGCTTAGCCATGCGATGTGGAAGTGAGTGATGAGTGAGAAGAAGAAAAGCCCACAAAGACAGCAGAACAAAGAGGCCGCACTGAGTGAGGTGCACTCAAGAGCACACGAGACTCTTTGACCTTGGCACCTTCTGCTGGTTTGACCAAAACTACCAAGGAAGAAGTGTCATTTCTGGAATGAGTGAAAGCATCAAGTAGGAGCCTTTTACTTTTTACATAAGGTTTTTAGGTTTAAATTTATGTGATTTTGAGTTTTTAAGAATCAAGTATACTTGAACTATAATCCCTTTCTGGACATGACATGAGAATCACAGTCATGAACTCACAGGAGCTGTGGTTACTACACAAGGCTTACACAAGAGCAAGCCCGGTACAATTCAGCATAGATGATCTCTGTCCCCACCCCTTTGGGGGGAGCTATCTTTGGCAGTGGATAGTGTCTGC